CTGCACCCCCCGGAGGGACCCCCCCAAAGCCCCCCGCGGGTGTCAGAGCCAGACCCGTGTGCAGGGGGACAAGTCCTTTACTTGCCGAGGGCTAAGGCAGTGTTTGGAACAGGGGGGTGCAGGTGCCCCCCCCAGACACGTGTCCAGGAGCATGAACTGAGGTATGGGACCCCCCTGATGGGACCCCCTGAGTGGGGCCCCCCTGATGGGACCCCCTAAGTGGGACCCCCTGAGTGGGACCCCCGTGTTAAGGCCACTGGAAGGATCGGGGTGGTCCCAGCGCTGGGTTTGGTCACCCCTCCTGTGTCTGTGTCTCCTCTGCAGCCCCCCAGGAACCCCCGGGGGACCTTCCCAGAGGACACAGTTGGGGGGTCCGGGCGTGGGGACCCCCCTGGGGGGGCTACAGGAGGGTACAGTCCAGATCCAGCCTCTGCCGCTGCCTCCGCTCTCCGGTCGGACGTCCCCCCACCTGCAGGGACAAGGGGGATGTGGGGGGACCTGCAGGGACCCCCCCGGGGCCACCACCCACCTGCAGGGACGAGGGGGGTGCTGGGGCAGGAGGGGACCTGCAGAGACCACCCCCAGACCCCCCAGAGGGGCAGGGGTGTGAGGGGGGCACCTGGTTACCTGCCCTGGCACCTGCAGCTGCTGCTGAGGAGGAGGAGGGTGAGGATGGTGCTGCTGATACTCCTCCTGCTGCAGCTGCCGTGCCAGCTCCAGGTCACTGAGCACCGAGGGGGGCTCCTGCCCCTGCTGCTGCTGCAGGGACAGGGCCACCATGTAATCCTGGGGGGCACAGGAACACAAAGAGGGGGGGTCAGCACGGCGAGCCCGGACCCTGTGGCTGGGCTGGGACGAGACTCGGGTGTGTCCCCCACCTGGTCCACCTGTCTCTGCTGCAGTTGGGGGTCCGGGGGGGCCGCGGGGTCCCCCCCCTGGGCCGGGGCGTGGCTGAGGTGGAAGTCGGTGTCGCAGAAGCAGCTGTCCCCGTCCACCGTGTGCAGGCTCTCCCAGACCACCCCCTCCTCGCGCAGGAAGCCCTGGTCCGTCACCAGCAGGTACAGGTGGCCCTGGGGTCGGGCACAGGGTACGGTCAGTGCGGGGGGATGCTCTGGGGGGGCGCAGGGCAGGGCAGGGGGTGTCCAGGGGCCCACCTTGTGCTTGGTGATGGTGCTGAAGTGGTTGTTGCGGAAGAAGACGCCGAGCTGGCCCTCGGGGGCCGCGGCCGTGAGCTCGCACAGCCCGTGGTAGCTCAGCTGCGACGCCGTGGCCTCCAGGAACTGCTCGGCCACCAGCCCTGCGGGCACACCGAGGGGGGCAGCGGGGCTGGGGGGTCCAGCTCTGCCCCCAGGGACCCCGGGGAGGGGGCTGGGGCGGGGGGGAGCCGTTACCTTCGCTCACCAGGCTGGAGTCGGTGGCCTGTTTGCAGGTGATGATCTTCTCCACCAGCTGGTTGTAGCTGAGCTTGCCCACGGCCTGGACCATCTCTGGGCTCTGCAGGGAGGGCAGGGAAGGGGGGTGAGCTCCTGGCTTCCCACCTGTGTGGCTCAGCTTGAAGATCCACCATCACAGGGACATTCCTGATGGTTCCCACCATCACAGAAGGGTTTGGGATGGGAGGGATCACCTGGTCCAACTTCCTCCCGTTAATCGTCCATTAGCTCGGGTTTAAAGCCCCAAACAAAACATCACAGAGGGGTCTGGGTCAGGAGAGGCCTTTCTGGGATTATCCAGAACCCCCCTGCCATGGGCGGGGGCACCTGGCATAGCCCAGGTTGCTCCAAGCCGTGTCCAACCTGGCCTTGGACACTTCCAGGGATGGGGAATCCATCCACAGCTTGCTGGCCTTGCCCAGGATTGACCCCAACCCCTCCCAGCAGAGGTTCTGCAGCCCTTGGATCAAGGGTTGTCCTCACCTGGGGGTCCACCAGCCAGCCGTGGTAGAGGGGGATGTTGAGGAGGTCAAAGACGATGCACTCGGGGGTGTACTCAAAATCCGAGACCCCCGTGAACCTCACGTTGACGTCCAGCCCCGTCGAGAGCTTCGGGAGCACCGTCATGGTGTCGCTGATGTTCTGGGAGGGAGGAGGAACGAGGGGGGTTTGCCCCTGGAGGGGAACCCCAAGAGGATGGAGGGGGAGGTTCAGAGGTGGGGTTGGGTGCCCTGGGGTGTTGCTCCTCACCTGCTGGAAGTTGAGCTGGAGCCCCTCCGACGTCTCCCGGGGTTGGGTGGCCAGGATACAATCCCCTGGAAGGCAGTGGGGTCAGCCCTGGCACAGCCCCAGCAGGGCAGGGGGGTGGGGGGTGCCAGGGGAGGCCCCGCTGCCCCATCCCCATCCCGGGGGAGGGACAGGAGTGTGGGGGTGCCAGGGGAGCTCACCCAGGTGTGCCATCAGCTCCTCGGCCGTGATCACCTCCTTCTGCGGGGGCAGCTTCACCTGCAACGAGGGGAGGATGGGACCCCCTTCCCTCCGGGGTTCAGGGACAGCCGGGGCCGAGCCCCCTCCCCCTCAGGGCCCCCCCTGGGACCCCCGCCTTGCCTTCCAGCGCAGCAGGAGGACGTTCATGATGGCGAGCAGCGGGCAGGGCCCGTTCTCGCTCTGGGTGATGACGGGCGTGCGCTCCCCCTTCCAGCGGATCCACTTCACGCAGTAGAACTCGGGGGCCCGGGGGGGCTCGGCCGGGCCGGGGGAGGATCCCCCTCCCTCCGGGCTCAGGGGGTCCCCCCGAGGCTCCTCATGGCTGGGGGGTCCTGGGGCACCTCCTGGCTCCCCCTCCCCAGAATCTCCGGCTGGTTCCGGGCTCTGCCGGCCCGGGGGGGGAATTGTGGCCTCCCCAGCCCCCTCCTCCGGCAGCTGGAGGGTCCCTTCCCCGCTGGGAGGGGCTGGGGGGGTCCCTTCCTGCTCCATGGGAGACCCTCCCCTCGAGCAGCTCCGGCTCAGGCTCCTGGGAACGCTCCGGGGCTGTCCGGGAACAGCCACATCCCAAATTCCAACCTTAGAAAGGAAAAATTGGGAATTTCAGGAAAAGAAAATAAATATATAAAATACATAGGCAATAAATATAATAATATAATTAATGTATTGATATAAAATATTACACATTAAACCAGTATAAATAATATAATATAAATAATACAGCCTACCTATATATTATAGATATTTTTATAGAATATATAATACAATATGTAATATATAAAATATAAAAATATATAGAGAATGTAATATAAATAATCAATATATCAAGTAAGTAAATAAATGCAATAATATAAATGAAATATTATAGATACATAAGTAAATAGTCCTGCTAGATACAGAGAGATGAGTCGATAAATAAAGAGTATTATTAATCAAATAAATGAGAGGAAAATGTTTTGATGGGTAAACAGATGGATAAAACCGACAGAGTTAATAATAAGGTAAATAACTACGTCGACATGTTCTTTGCAAATCGCCAGAATTAAAATGAAATACAAATTAAGCGAATAAAACATGAAATGACATAAACTGAAACATGAACCGACGGAGGGATGTAAAATAAAATGAAATGAAGTAAAATAGAATAGAATAAAATAGGAAATGGAATAAAATAAAATAGGAAATAGAATAAAATTTAATAGAAAATAGAATAAAATAGAATGAAATGAAATAGAATAAAGTAAAATGGAATAGAATCAAATAGAACAGATGTAACCAAGGCCGGGGAAGGCGGCGGGGTTGGATTTCCATGGGATGAGTCTCCCGGCCCTGCCCCACCCGGGGCCGGACGGACCGGCCGGGCCGGGCCGGGGTCTCGGGGCGGGGCCGGGGCGTGGTCGGGGGATTTTGGGGGGGTTTTGGGGGGGCCAGGGGGGTCTCGGGCTCTGGCCCTGCCTCGGTGTCCCCGCCCGGGG